CACTCACCTCAGCCTCCTAAAGGCGCGGGATTACAGGCTGAGCCACCAAGGCCGGCTAAATCAGAAGTCTTTAACCTGGAACTCTTGGATACGCCCCAGGGATCCAACCCCCTTTAAGGCATGAGTCTCCTATTTATGAGGTTTTCTTGGGAACCATTCTTATCACCATTCTGGATCGTTTCTGCTTTGAAAGCATCCTCTTGGTCCAAGATTAGTTACCTCCAGTTAGCCACCACCACCCACCTGTTCATATTGACCGTATGGCCCTGGGTTTTACTGATAATTCAAGTTTGACTTTTAACAGAAATGTCATTCACTCCGTAAACTCCTAGTCCCATATTTACTTGGCCACTTAAGAACTGCGAGCTCACCTTCTTCGTATGAAGAGTATCTAATGTAAATGCAAACTAAAACCACAATGAGATTCCACCTCATACCCATTAGGATAACTATTACAAAAAAAAAAAAACCAACAAACCAAGCAAAACAAAAACTCAGAAAATAGCAAGTGTTGGTGAAGATGTGGAAAAATGGGAGTCCTCATACATTGTTGGTAGGAATGTAAAGTGGTGCATCCACTACGGACAACAGTACGGTGGCTCTTCAAAAATTAAAAATAGAATCAACATATCATCCAGCAATTCCACTTCTGGGTATACACTCAAAAGAACTGGAAGCAGGAACTCTAACAGACATTTGTTCATTCAAAGCCATGGCAACATTATTCACAATAGCTACACTGACCGATGAACAGAGAAAATGTGATATATACATTCAGTGGAATGTGATTCAGACTTGAAAAGGAAGGACATTCTGACATATGTTACAACATGGATGAGCCTTGAAGACATTATGCTAAGTAAGAATACGTCAGTCACAAAAGGACAAATACTGTATGATTCCACTTATATGAGGCACCTAGAACAGTCAAATTCAGAGAGACAAAAGGTAGACGAGTGATTGCCAGGGACTGAGGGAAAGGGTAATGGGGAGTAAGTGTTTAATGGGGATGGAGTTTCAATTTGGGAAGATGAGAAAGTTTGAGAGATGGATAGTGATGGTGGTTACACAGCAATGTGAATTTTCTAGTAACACTGAACACAGTGTTATTTAGGCTGAGCATAGTGGCTCACGCACTTGGGGAGGCCAAGTTAAGAGAATTGCTGAGCCTGGGGGTTTGAGAACAGCCTGGGCAACTTGGCAAGATCTTGTCTCTGCAATAAATCAAAAGATTAGCCAGGCATGGCGGTGCGTACCTATAGTCCCAACTATTTGGAAGGCTGAGGCGTAAGGATCACCTGAGTCCAGCAGGCTGGGTCTGATTGTGCCACTGCATTCAGCTAGGTGACAGAGTGAGACTCTAACTCAAAAAAAAAAAAAATCATACACTTTATATTACGTATAAAGTATTATGTATATATTATGTATAAATGTATACACTTTATATTATGTATTACCACAAAAATAGTTTTAAAATGTCTAATGCCATCTGATATTATTCCCTGCTCCTGCAGAAAACTTACAAGCCTTTTGTAGAATTCGTTCCCAAACACTGGCCAGCACTGGCAAGTGGCAAAAATGGTTTCCAAAAGCTGCTGCCTTTGCTGTTTGCATTCTTGGATAAAAAGCCATTTTAGTATCATATCTTCTCTCTCCCCATGCCCCTCCCCAAAAGAAGGCCAGTAAAATGAAGTTTTAAATCAGAGGCAGTAGAACAAGCTCCCATGGGACTAGAAGCCAGTACCCAGAAGCCACTACTCAAAGGCAGTGCATACAACATGGATGGGGGAGAAACCAGGAGCAAAGTTCAGGGGATGTGGCAGGGGAGAAGTCCGCCTGCCAAGTCACCTGCCTCACACAGCACAGGCCCCAGCCGGGGACTGTTTACTGAGGCAGCCCACCAGACACCCCTTCAGGCTCTGAAGTCACTTACCTCACCAAAGTATTTCTCAATGATCTTCAGAGCGGTCCAGTCAATCTGACAGTTCTCCTGAAGTCAGAAAGCTTCAATTCTATCAATCCCTCTGAGTTCTTCCATCAGAAGACACAGATGTTCCTTCTCAGACAGTTTCTCTGCTCCCCGTGAGCAAGTACAAGAGAACATAAGGCCCCAGCCAGGAGCCCTTCGGAGGTAGGACCTCTGCCAGCCCTCAAGAGAGCTTCCTTCAGTAGAATCAGATCAAAACCTGCCATTCCAGAATGGGTAGTTGGCAGTTTCACTTTTCCCAAACTGTCTGAAATTACGGTGGAGCGGAGTGGCCAATGGCCTGCTTGCAATATGCCTCAGTTTTATTGTGACCACTGCGACACGTACCTCACCCATGACTCTCCATCTGTGAGAAAGACCCAATGCAGTGGTAGGAAACACAAAGAGAATGTGAAAGACTACTCTCAGAAATGGATGCAAGAGCAGGCTCAGAGCCTGAATGACAAAACGACTGCTGCACTTCAACAAGGAAAGATCCCTCCTATTCCATTCTCTGCTCCGCTCCTGCAGGGGCGATGATCGCACCTCCCCCTAGTCTTCCGGGTGCTCCTCGCCCTGGTCTGATGCCAGCACCCATATGGGGGGCCCTCCCATGATGCCAGTGATGGGCCCTCTTCCCCCGGGATGATGCCAGTGGGACCTGCTCCTGGAATGAGGCCACCCATGGGAGGCCACATGCCAGTGATGCCTGGGCCTCCGAGGATGAGATCTCCCGCCCATCCCATGACGGTGCCCACTCGGCCTGGGATGACTCGACTAGACAGATAAGGATGGGGAGGACTCTTTCATCAGTTTTATAGCACTTGTTCTACTTCACCCGAAGGTCATGGCGCTGTGACTGAGTGTTTTCTTAATAGCATGTAAGAAAGACTTGCTCCCCCTTCCTATCAGAGAATAGTTTTAGAGAGGAAAAGTGGGACAAAACAAGTACAGTTTTCATTTGTATTGTGAAATGTAAAAATAAAATTGTCAACTCTTTAAAAAAAAAAAAAGAAAATTACATGATCTTCCTCCCACTTCAGGTATCTACGATCGATAGATCTGTATCATATGTGCATATAAATATAAATTATTAAAACAGCTACACATATTTATATATAAAATATAACTATGTCTGTTTTTTTCTAAATATGTTTATTTTTGTTGTACAAAATACATTTCTAGACCATCAGCTTATGAGAGGTATATATTACTGTCTGTAAATATATTACGGTCTGTAAATATATTACTATCATCATTTAGTGATATTCCTTCGAATTAATAAAAATTATTTTAAGGATAATTTGAAAGAATGTTCAATTAATGCTTCGCAAATGTAGATGTTCTGGCCCTGCACACCCCGGAAAGACGAGATAAGACAGGAACCCCTTAGTCACAGAAGCCTCACCATGGCAAATAATAAAGCCCCTGTTAACAAAGAATGTGAGTGGATTTAATTCAACTCTGGCTCATTGGCTTAGTCATCCAGGACTATTTTTTCACTCAAACACTTACATAAATACTATGGATGAGGCACACAAAACTAAAGATACAGATGTGATTTAGAGAAAGTCTTTTCATGAGTAAGATTATTAGGGGTGACAGGTAAAAAATGGTTGGTTACAATATAAAAAGTACAATAAACTCCCAGAGATTAGGTTATAGAAGATGCACAAAGAAGGCTTAGAAGGTATCACAAGTTCTTAGTAAATAGTATGTGTGTGTCTCTCTGTGTGTGTGTGTGTGTGTGTGTGTGTGTGTGTGTGTGTGTATGTGTGTGTGTCAGAGTCTCAGTCTGTTGCCCAGGCTGGAGTGCAGTGGCACACTCACGGCCACTACAGCCTTGACCTGCTGGGTTCAGGCAATCCTTTTTCACCTCAGTCTTCCAAGTCGCTGGAAGTACAGGCGCGTGTCAACATGCACAGCTAATTTTTTGATTTACTGTAGAGACAAGGTCTTGCCAAGTTGCCCAGGAGGGTCTCGAACCCGCGGACTCAGTTAAGCCTTTCTCCTCGGCCTCCCAAAGTGCTGGGATTACAGACATAGCCATCACACATAGCTAGTGAAGAGTACTTTTTTTTCTTTAAAGAGATGTGAGGTACAATTTAGGGTTAGGTATACAAATGTTCATTATGCAGGTACCCTTGTTGATGAGATGTGCCACCCCTGGCAGATTCCCACTACTGGCAATCCCTCCCCCCTCCCCACCAATTTCCCACTACCGCCAATCCTTTTCTTACAGCATTACGATAATCGTTCAAGGTCCACTTATGAGTGAGAACATGTGATACTCAGTTGTTGTGAAGTTCATAAGTTCATAATTTTATCCTTCTTTAAGGCTGCATAATATTCCATCATGTATATGTACCACATTTTTAAAATCCAGTCCTCTCTTGATGGGCAGCACGGTTGATTCCATGTTTTTGCTATTGTGAAAAATGTTGCAATAAACATGTGTGTGAAGGGATCCTTTTCATAGTGATTTGACTTCCTCCAGGTATTCTGTTTTCCACAGAGGTTGTACTAGTTTACAATCCCACCAACAGTGTAGCAGTGCTCCTTTTCCCCTGCGTCCTCTCCAGCATCTGGGTTTTTTTGAGTGATTGATGGGGCCATCCTGACTGGAGTTAGGTGGTATCTCAGCGTGGTTTTAATTTGGAGGAAACATTTCTTTTAATTCACTTATCTTATGTAATTGAAGAGGTACTGTGAAAGTTTTAAAGATGGAAAATCCAAATCAGAGTTATTGCAGAAAAGCATATCATTTAAACCACCAAGAGCTATTTAGAAATCTAATCACTATTTTCCTTACTCTTGAGACTTTTGCTCCAATACCTACATATATATAGCATCATCTTTTGGTGGATAGACCCCTTACAGTACAGGCTTCTCCTGCTAGGTGAGCGTTCTAGGAACCCATCGGCATCAGTGTATCAGATAGTGTTGTGAGAGGTTGCGTTCTGCTTCTGTGTTTGTTTGTTTGTTTGTTTTTTTAAGATTCTTGCAACACATTTGCCCATTTCGTGATGGGTAATTTGCAGTGTGGCAGTTAAACATATCCGCCCACATTGCATTGAGTGCTTAGCGGTTTTTGACCAAAAATGGTGTGATCCTGGTTCCCCTCTCTTCCTATTCACACAACCTCATGAGCAACTTTTGTTTTCCCAGATGAAAAAAAGTCATCAAAG